CTAAGGCTCACCTTTTTCTCATTTACTGAGATTACTGAGATGATTAGCAAAGCTGAGAGGTTGGGAGAGGCTAGAGCAGGGTGAAGAGGCCATGGACCATACAAACAGCACCACACACTCCATCAGGAAGGCAGTTGGTACACCTTGCCTGTAGATTTTCCCCACTGGCCCATGGGCAACAGAAATACTTTATACACCTAACAGCCACTTCCCCACAACAACTCCCCAGGCATAATATCACAGAAGATGAATGCAAGCATTTCATGCTGAAAGTCAGCAAGACTCGAAACTTGCGGTAAGGCACACAAACTTGAAAATTTCAAGGCATTTTTCCTAGGGAAAACTAATGGAAGGCTTTCAGCATTCAATCTGGAATTTCAGGATCAACACAAGACATGCAATCCTACGAATTCTCCACCAAGAACAAGAGACATGTGAACTGGGTACATCCACATGAAATGGGTGAAAGATTGTTTAGAATACTTGTTAGGGCTAGCAGGTGAAAGCATTTCTCTCTGGAAGGCAGTTAGTAAAGATTGCATCTATGGACAAATAAATATTTACAAAAGCACATGCGCACACACATACAAACACACACACACACACACACACACACACACACACACACAACTAATAAAAATGTTATAACCAAAGAACATAATGGTATTATAGTCAATGACCCCAAAGAAATGGATATCCATGAATTGCCTGACAAAGAATTCAAAAGAACTGGTTTAAGAAATCTCAGCTACAAAAGAACACAGATGGAAAATGGAATAATATTAGAAAAGCAATATATGAACAAAATGAGAAGTTCAATAAAAACATGGAAACCCTAAAAAGAACCAAACAGAAATGCCAAACAGTAAACAATGTCAGGACAGAAAACTTCAATAAAGACTTTAACAGAGTTGATCAAGCAGAAAACGCAATCTGTGAACTCAGGTCACTTCTAATTAGCTAATTGAGAAACAAAAAGTTAAAAAAAGAATAAAGATTTGAGAAAGCATATGGGATCTATGGGACACTGTCAAGAATATGAATACATGAATTCTGGAAGTCTCAGAAGGAGAGACAAATGGATCAAAGGGTTATCCAAAAAAATGCTCTCTGAAAACTTCCCAAATCTCAGAAGTGATATGGACAGCAAAATTCATGAAGCTCAAATGACCACAAACAAAATTGGCTCAAAGAAGAATACCTCCAAGCATATTAAAACAATATGGTCAAGTCAGAAAAGAATCCTGAAAGGAGCCAGAGAAACGATCCAAATCAAATAAGGAAACCTCAATAAGAATATTAATGCACTTGTGAACAGAAACCTTAAAAGCCAGCAGAAGAGAATGAGAATATATATTCAAAGTAATAAAAATATTTGCCAGACAAGATAATATACACAGCAAAGCTGTTCCTCAGAAACTAAAGGAAAATAAAAATACGCTCTACCAAGAAAACAAAAACAAAAACAAAAAACAGAGTTGAGGTCTAGCTTATAAAGCTAAAAATGTTAAGAAATGTTCAGTTTCTTTAACATTGAAACAAAAGGATGCTAATTAACAATATGAAAATATATGTCATGGTAAAGATAAAAATAAACAAACCAGAATACTCTAATAATATAATTATGGTGTTCATGTCACTTACATTTCTAATATAAAGGTTAAAATACAAAACTATTGAAAATGGTTATAACCACAATAATTTATTAAGAGAATACTTAAAAATATAAATTTTCCATCAAAACATAAAATATGAAGAAGATTGGAGCAAATATGTACAGTTCTTGTATGTGATACAAGACAAGTTGTTGTCAGCTTAAAACAACCTTTTATAACCCTGAGATATTTTATGTAAGCTTCACCTGAATTTGGAATATCTCATTCTAAGCCCTTCTCGATTTTAGAGTCTGAATTGAAAAATCAGAATTGAACCTTATTGGCTTAATGTGACCCAAATGTTTCTCTCTTACAGTTGTTATTATTTTCTATGTTAGATATGTTGACCATGATGTGTTTGAAGAAGTTCTCATTAGGTCTATTTGGGGTCCTATATGCATCGTGTATATGAATAGCTCATTTCTGATAAAAAGTTTTCTGTAATTATCTTATTAAAAATGTTCTTAATACCTCTAACTTATATCTCCATCTTCTCTTCTATCCCCATGCTTCTCAGGTTTGGTCTCTTCATGCTGTCCCCGAGTTCTTATATATTTGATTATGTTCTATCATTTCTGTCCTTTATTGCATTCTGTGTACTCAAGTTTATAGAGCCTGCTTCAAGGCCTCAGGTTCTGTCTTCAAGGGCCGAAGTTCTATTTTCTACGCAGACTAATATGTTAGTGATGTTTTTGAAGTAAATTTTTAATTTGATTGATTGTGTCTTTCATTTCTAGGAGTTGTGATTGGATTATTTTCAATGTTTCTACTTCTTTATTGAAGCAGTCTTTTTTTCTCCTATATTTGGTTTCTTAATTCCTTCCTTAGATCTTCTTTTAGTTCACTGAACATTTTAATGATCAGTTTTTATATTTTACTAGGATTTCATCCACTTCAATATCAATGGATTCTTTATTTGTGGATTATGAATTTTGGGGGAAAACTGATTGCCTGTTTTCTCAAGTTTTCAGAGGTCTTGGACTTGTCCATCAATTCAGATGGATTCCCCTTTTTATTTTATATGCATGTCCTTTGTGCTATTGTTTTATTTGTTCTGAGGCTTTTCTCTCTTTTTTTTCTTCTTGATATATTAGTAAATGTCAAGGGATGGAACCTGAGGTCCCATTCTGACTATCCCTTCTTAGGTCCTGGCTATTGGTTTGGGGTTTTTGCTCTTCATTGAGTTGGAGTAACTGTTAAGGCTCTGGTGGGGCTAAATTAGGTACGGGGTGAGATTCAGTGTTGCTTGGTTAAGATGTAAGTATTTCTCAGCAGCAAGATCTCTACTCTGTGATCTTACAATGTCTCGATTTATTTTTGGCCCTCCTTAAGAGGAGAGGGAGCCAGGAATGGCTACAATGCCAGCAGCAGATTACAGTCTTAAGATAAATGTCTGGTGTCTACTTTGACATCTTTAACACTAATTTTCACCTACATTTGAGTGGTGGTGTCAATAATTAACAACAGCACCAATAATAAAAAACTGAGAAGCAGACCATGCATTTGATAGCAGGTGTCTACTATGTTGTCCACTCTATTAATAATCACAGAAACTTTAATGGGGGAGAAATCCACATAATTTCTATTATTTAGAAGGATTACAGTTTCTTAAGTAAGCGGAAATAGGGTAAGTGGTCAAGAGAAAGTTTGAAGTGTTTGAAAAAGTGATCATAGGAAAAGCAAGAGATAAAAAGCAAGTGTCAGCTATAAAAAGAGAATAAAAGTGAACTGAAAATAATTTTTAAAAAAAAAAAGAAAAAAACGGAAAAATTTGGCCAATAACGGGGGAAAAAAAGAGAAAATAGGGTAGACATAAAGGCCCAGAACCTAGGGATGAACAAACCAGCAAATGTAAGATCTAAACAACACAAACTCTTCAATAATTACTCACCTAAGTATAATGTAGGTAAACAATGAACACATTCAGGAGAGAGCTATTAGTATGTAACTAAAGCTATATGAACACATACACATATATTCAAATCCATTCACACAATGAGAAGCATACACTACCATACACATACTGTCACACACACATAAATCATGCATAATGAAAAAAAATGAAGAAGGATACAATACAATGGAACAATGTTTGAAAACTAGAAAAAAA